TAGCATGATTGGCTGATCAAATTTTTTTTAAATATTGTGTTTCCATTTCCTTCTAAATTCTTATTTTCTTTCACTTCCAGTAACCCTTTGCATCACTGATAACAAAAATTGTATTTTGACAAAAAAAAAAAAAAATATGATTTCTGGAAGATAACATTTTAATGCAAAGTCTTTGTAATTTTAGTGCCTGATATCAAGAGATAGAACCTTAATAATAATAAATAAAATTTAATGTCCACTTATCTTATTCCTACTCAGAGTTTCCGAGATAATATCTACTTGTGAGGAAACAAAACTTTAAAAAAAAGGGTGAATTTTAAAACAGATGAATGAAATAGGAACAGAATAGTGAGAGGTTTGTGATGTTTCATCAGTGGGAAAGAGATTGTTGGGTGGATAGTAATTCATCACCCACAAGTCCGTGTAAACACATTTGAACTTTATCAAAACTGGAAAGATAAAACTTTCCATGCCAGAAAGGATCTTTTTAGAACTGAGGAGAGGCTGTTCTAGAGGATTCTCTTTTTGAAGAATGTTGAAAGAGAAGCTTTGGTATACTGAATGAAATTAAGATTAAGTCATATTTCAGCAATCTGAAGGATTTTTTGTTTCTCCTGTTACTGCAGACAACTCCAAAAGCAAATGATTGTGTGTTTGAATTTCACATTTATTTTGTCTTACCCTGCTATGGCAACATCAAAAATGACCTTGACTGAAATAGAGAGCAACTTCATTTAATGGTCTGAAAACTAACAACTATTAATAAAACTGAATTCTTCTTCTTCTATGTGCCACGTTCCTTCATTACATGGACGATCATGGCTCTCCACAACTTCTCACCCTTTGTAGCTCTTAACAATTTCTTTTTAGTATCTCACACAGTTCCTGTTTTGCCATTCATTTACATGAAATTTTAGGTAGGTTACTTGCTTCTTTCCTCTGCTCCACTTGCCTTCAGTATGTCCTGTGAGTGTCAAATTCTCTAAGCCTTCTTTCCCAAAAATTACAGCTGTTTTTTTTTTCCTGATTCTATGTGTCCATTTTGATTCTATTGTCCTTAAAACTTCCTAATTACTCACATAATCTGTGCATGGTATTCCCAGTATTCTTCTGTATCATGGCATATCTGTTGCCTCAAGTCTGTTCTCCATCTGTGAGGTAATTGTCCAGCATTCACTGCCATACAAAAGGAATGATGTCACATAGCAGCTCAATACTCTTTTCTTTGTTTCTAACAAAATTTGCTTGATTCTTAATACCTTGTTTAGCCTTTGGAATGCAGTTTTCACTATTTCAATGTGCCTTCAGATTTCAGTGTCACATATTCTGTCATCTGTTAGAACATTTCATATGCAGTTAAATTGCTGTACTTGTTTGATGTTGACAACACTAGTTTGTAGTTCATCTTGGGCTGTTTCTCTTGTTGACTACCATGAATTGGTTTTTGAAGGTATTTTTGTAAAAATGACTTGCTTGGTGTAAGTTCCCAATGTTAGCAACATTTCAGTAGGTCTGTCGAACCAATGCTGAAGAGTTGGTGAGTGTTCAACCCGAGTTCAGCTTAGCAGAGACAAATCTTAAGTGAGCAGAAACTCTGATGAAATGAATAACAGTAAAGGTCTGATGTAAATATCATTATTTAAGTTCCATAAGAAAAAGATTGTTAGAAATATGCTTGTAAAACTGCTGTTTATCAATTTTAGTATTATTTTTAGGCAAGAAAAATAGCTCCAAGCAAAGGCTAAAATATCTTTTTTCTGGCCAAACACTGATTCCCAAGAATAATAAGGATGTGAAGGTGGTGTAATGGATTCAACTCAAAGTGAGTCAAGTTCGAATTTTGGTTGAGTTCATGACATTCACTTATGTCTAAATACCCTTAGCAAAGATATGGATTCATATCTTCTCCTCCCAGCTATGGGTTAAATAGTAGGACTTGAAAAAATTATTAATGTAATAGTCACTCATAAAGAAAACAAATTTTTTTTTTAAGCGTTTCACCCCAAGCAAGGCGGGAAGCCACTAGCACACAAGGAGTTACAGAGAGTTGGAGTGAGAGCAAAGAGGAGCAGTAGAGGAAAGGATGAAGAGAAGGATAGGGGATAGATCAAGGCATCTGGAGATGTCGATTGACATTACATTTGAATAGTTAGAGATTATACTATCAGGGAAACAGGAAAAGGGGAGGGAGTTCCACAGGCGAGAAGTGCAAAACATGAAGCCATTGGAGTAGAAGAGACAGCTACATTTAACAGTTTTAAAAGTGAAAGGGTGAGAATGAGATGCAAGTCTAGTTGAACGCTTAAATTCATGAAGTCTGGGAACCAGCAAAAGCAGCTCATCGGAGCAATTACCATGAAAGTATTTGTAAAAAAGACAGAGGGAGGCGACAGCACATCTATGAGAGAGCGACTGCAGGTGAGATGCCAGATCAGGGCCAATTACATTGCATATCCGTCTCTGGATTTTATCGAGGACCTTGAGACAAACAGAAGGGGCTCCAGACCATATATGGCAGCAATACTCCATGCAAGGGTGAATGGTTGATTTGTAGATTTGAAGGATCGATTTCCTGGCATGGCACAGGGAGCCAACTTTCCTTGCGGTGGACGAAGCTATTGACTCAATCTATTTGTTCTATCTCAGGTCAGCAGTCAATGTGAGACCAAGCAGTCGTAAAAAGGTGCTCTCATGGAGTTGAGCGTCAGACATTCTAATGGGGGGCAGGGATGGTTCTCTGTGATGAGTAATAGAGAGCAGTTTTGTTTTTGAGGCATTAAAGTTAACCAGCCAATTCCTACCCCAGAAATGAATTATTCTTACAATCCTAAACATGTTTTGGCTTTAAATAACATGCAAAGGGTTGATAAACCATAAAATACCAATCAATAAATCAATCCTGAATGATAGTGCACTAGGCATGTATCTCATTACTCACTGCTGGATCCTTGGGACACCATCTGTAGGGCAGCAACAGCAATTAAGGTCACAAGAGCAAGAGAGAGAGAGAGTTCATTGTTTTCTTTGCTGATTTTAAATTCAGATTTATCCTTCTCCAAGACTCAGTTTATTCTACTATTTCATTCTTAACAATGAGAGGAAAAGAAATGTAGTTATGGTTTTCAAAAAGTATTTGTGCAAACTGAATGCAGAAGACTTGGCTGAAATTTGAACTTGACTCACTGATTTCATTTTTCATACCAATAACCATTACACTGCCTGTGCATCCATGGTAGTGCATTACTCATCATTACTTGCCATATCTCTTCAGGATTTTGGCAATCATGGCTCTTCATAGCCCCCTTTTCTTTAATATCTGAAACTACACTGCTACAACTGTTATTGGAAAAGATAATATCAAATGGCAAGAATGCAAAATATAAAAAATGATTTAATTTCAATCCTTGAACTAAGTTTTCCATTTTAGTCTATTCTTGGCTGAATAATAGAAAAACTTGAAACAAGCTCTGCTATGATGATATTTTCTATAATGGTGAATTAATTTGTTATAATATGTTTAGAATTTTCAAATTAATCTCTCTTCAATTGCCAGCAATATTAAGTCTTTAAACATTTAGGTTTAGAAATTCACAATCACAATTAACACCAAAACAGCTTTATAATTTCTTCCCAAGTGTCAATTCAACCATCTGCTAATCTTTATACATGATATTAATCTAAGAAATCGGAAAGTCAAATTTCAAATAACACCTTAAATCCTTTAACAGCTTTATGAAATGAAAACAAACTTGCCTGAATTAATTTAAAAGAAGCCATACTCTTGAAAACTGTTTCACATTCTTTGAATATTTTGAAAACATTTAATTCTTTGAATGAATAAAAAGTGTTGCCTTCTTTGATAGATCTTATTTAATTTGTCATATGGTATATAAAATGTTTTGTACCATAGAAAGGTAGATATAGCTTTAGTTTACATGAGAGTCAAAATAGTAGATATGGATTTTGTTCACACAAGAGACAAAAAAGTAGATATAGAATTGGTTTGCACACATCAAAACAATATGCACTGTTACAGTAAATAGGTGGCTATTTTCTTTAAAGGGTTTACCTTTCTGCATGATAATGCAGTCAGTATATTCTTGATCCTAACAGACAAAAAGGGATGGCTTCTGAGAGCTGTCTGACAGCACCTTAATTTGACTATTTGAAAAGAGATCATACATTTATCTGAAATAATTTAAAACAAAGAATTATTTTTTTTACTATTTGGCAGAACCTTAGACATTAAAAAATATATTGGCTGAAATAACTGAAAAGAAAGAGGTGGTTTTCTTTTTTCATTGTTTGATACCACATTAATCCATTAATGATTTCAAACTGAAAAAAAAGGTTTTGCAGAAAAATAATTCCAAGTAACATTTTTTTTACTTTTACCATTTGATATTACACCATTTAGCACTTTCCCTATGTAAACAAATGAAAAAATATTGGATGAAATAATTTATAGGAAAAAAGGATTTTCTTTTACAACTATTTCCCAGCACTTTTAACTGTTTGAACAGCATTAATTCTCTTGAACTCTTCAAAGTTGACTATAAATACAAAGATGGATTCAGACAACCATTTTCAATTATTGATTTATCCACTGAATGATGAAAACCATTTTTGACATCCTCAAAGCTAATCTTTAAATATGATCAGAAAAATGGATGCAATTAATGTTTACTTAGTGTACTGAAATGATAGTGAAAAAGATCTTTATCACACAATTTATAACAGTAGCAATGTGGACAGAGTTCACTGAAATTATGTGCCATTCATTCTGAAGTTAAGTATAAATTAAATGCAATCCAGATTTACTAAATAAGCCTCCTAGTCAAACCAGACATCCATTATGTTCCTATTATGTAATAAGATACAAAAGAGAGATATGAAGTCGTAAGTCTTGTTGAAGAGGGCAGAAGTAAAAGCTGAATCTTCAATACAGTAAAAGACAGAAGTGAAGCAGTAAGAGATGTCAGGGAGAGCAAAAGCAGAATTTACATCTTCAGTGAACAGTGAAGTGCAGAAGTAAAAAAGTAGAAGTTGTTGGGGAGGGCAGAAACAGAATTTGCATCTTCAATAGAGTAAAAGATAGAGGTGAAGATGTAAGTCTCGTTGGGGAGGACAGAAACAGAATTTGCATCTTCAATAAAGTAAAAGAGAGAGGTGAAGATGTAAGTCTCGTTGGGAAGGGCAGAAACACAATTTGCATCTTCAATAGAGTAAAAGACAGACGTGAAGATGTAAGTCTTGTGGGGAGGGCAGAAACCGAATTTGCATCTTGAATAGAGTAAAAGACAGAAGTGAATATATAAGTCTCGTTCGGGATGGCAGAAACAGAATTTGCATCTTCAATATTGTAAAAGACAGATGTGAAGATGTAAGTCTTTTTGGGAAGGGCAGAAACAGAATTTGAATCTATAATAGAGTAAAAGACAGACGTAAAGTCATGTTCGGGAGGGCAGAAATAGAATTTGCATCGTCATTAAAGTGAAAGGGATAGGTTAAGATGTAAGTCTTGTTCGGGAGGGCAGAAACCGAATTTGCATCTTCAATAGAGTAAAAGACAGAGGGGAAGATGGAAGTCTCGTTGGGGAGGGCAGAAACCGAATTTGCTTCTTCAATAGAGTAAGAGAATGAGGTGAAGATATAAGTGTTTTTGGGGAGGGCAGAAACAGAATTTGCGTCTTCAATAATGTAAAAGAGAGAGTTGAAGATGTAAGTCTCGTTGGAGAGGGCAGAAACAGAATTTGCATCTTCAAAGGAGTAAAAAACAAAAGTGAAGATGTAAATCTCATTGGGGAGGGCAGAAACAGAATTTGCATCTTCAATAGAGTAAAAGGCAGAGGCGAAGATGTAAGTCTTGTTTGGGAGGACAGTAGCAGAATTTGCATCTTCAATAGAGTAAAAGACAGAGGTGAAGATGTAAGTCTTGTAATGGAGGGCAGAAACAGAATTTGCATCTTCAATAGAGTAAAACACATAGGTGAAAATGTAAGACTTGTGGGGAGGGCAGAAACCGAATTGGCATCTTTATTAGAGTAAAAGACAGAGGTGAAGATGTAAATCTTGTAGGGCATGGCAGAAACAGAATTTGCATCTTCAATAGAGTAAAAGATAGAGGTGAAGGTGTAAGTCTCATTGGGGAGAGCAGAAACAGATTTGTATCTTCCATAGAGTAAAAGACGTACGGGATGATGTAAGTCTCGTTGGGGAGGGCAGAAACAGAATTTGCGTCTATAATAGAGTAAAAAACAGAAGTAAAGGTGTAAGCTTTGTTGGGGAGGGCAGAAACTGAATTTGCATCTTCAATAGAGTAAAAGACAGAGGTGAAGATGTAAGTCTCGTTGGGGAGGGCAGAAACAGAATTTGCATTTTCAATAAAGTAAAAGAGAGAGGTGAAGATGTAAGTCTCGTTGGGGAGAGCAGAAACAGAATTTGCATCTTCAATAGAGTAAAGGCAGACGTGAAGATGTAAGTCTTGTGGGGAGGGCAGAAACCGAATTTGCATCTTCAATAGAGTAAAAGATAGAGGTGAAGATGTAAGTCTTGTTGGGGAGGGCATAAACAGAATTTGCATCTTCAATAGAGTAAAAAAAGAAGTGAAGATGTACGTGTCATTCAGAAGGGCAGAAACAGAATTTGCTTCTTCAATAGAGTAAAAGACAGAGGTGAAGATGTAAGTCTTGTTGGGGAGGGCAGAAACAGAATTTGCATCTTCAACAGAGTAAAAGGCACATGTTAAGATGTAAGTCTTATTCGGGGGGGCAGAAACCGAATTTGCATCTTCAATAGAGTAAAAGACAGAGGGGAAGATATAAGTCTCGTTGGGGAGGCAGAAACAGAATTCGCATCTTCAATAGACTAAAAAACAGAAGTGAAGGTGTAAGTTTTGTTGTGGAGGACAGAAACCGAATTTGCATCTTTAATAGAGTAAAAGTCAGGGGTGAAGATATAAGTGCTTTTGGGGAGGGCAGAAACAGAATTTGCATCTTCAATAATGTAAAAGAGAGAGTTGAAGATGTAAGTCTCGTTGGGGAGGGCAGAAACAGAATTTGCATCTTCAGTAAAGTAAAAGAGAGAGGTGAAGATGTAAGTCTCGTTGGGGAGGGCAGAAATAGAATTTGCATCTTCCATAGAGTAAAAGACGTACGGGATGATGTAAGTCTCGTTCAAAAGATTGGGGAAGAAAGAAACAGAATTTGCATCTTCAATACAGTAAATGGCTGAGGTGAATCAGTAATACATCTTGGGAAAGACAGATACAGAATTTGCATCTTCAATACAGTAAATGGCTGAGGTGACTCAGTAATACATCTTGGGAAAGACAGATGCAGAATTTGCATCTTCAATACAGTAAATGGCTGAGGTGACTCAGTAATACATCTTGGGAAAGACAGATGCAGAATTTGCATCTTCAATACAGTAAATGGCTGAGGTGAATCAGTAATACATCTTGGGAAAGACAGATGCAAAATTTGCATCTTCAATACAGTAAATGGCTGAGGTGTATCAGTAATACATTTTGGGAAAGATAGATGCAGAATTTGCATCTTCCATACTATCAACTACAGGCATGAAGGAGTAAGTCTTGTTGAGTAGGGCAGAGGGAAAATTCACATCTTCAATACAGTAAATGGCAGAGGTGAAGCAGTAAGTCTTGTTGGGGAGGATAGAAAGAGAATTTACATTTTCAATGTAGTAAATGATATAGGTGATGGAATGTCTTGTTAGGGAGGGGACAAATGAAAATTGGCATCTAAAATAGAAAAAAAAAAACAATTGTGAAACACTGAGTCTTGTTGAGGTAGATTGAAGATAACTTTACATTTTCAGTACAGTAAAAAAACTGAGGTGAAGCTTAAATCTTGTTGAGAAGATAGAAGTTTTTGCTTCTACAATACAATAAAAGACAGAGATGAAGGAGCAAATCTTTTTGTGGAAGGAAGAAGGAAAATTGGCATTCTCTATTTAGTAAAAGACACAGGTAAAGTTATAAGTTTTTTTTGGGGGGGAGGGGACAGAAAGAGAAATTCCATCCTCTATACGGGCAAAGATAGAGGGGAAATAGGAAATTGTATCTTCAAAAATAGCAAATGATACAACTAGAAAAACAACAAAAAGTAAATCAGGAGGTTTTATTTTTAATGACAAAATAAGCATAGCTTTTTCAATGAAATTGTCTGCCTCCATTGTTCATCTGCATTTGTCCCATTTTTATTTTATTCTTGGTAATTTATTATGAATACTAGATTCAACACTTCTGCTAGCAGGTAGTTTTTTTTTAATTTTTATTTTTATCATCATATAAGATGGTTAGCTCCAATATGCATTCTTTGAATAAGTTTAATATATTTACCTTCCTAGTTGCTTGAAACAACTCGCCCTTTAGATAATGACATACAAGAAATGGAATGTTTGTCTTTATATTCAAGCATAAATACTCTGACACCCAGTAGGCATGAGCAGAATATTTTCAGTGTACTTAGATATGCAGTGTCTAAGATACACATACATGCACACAAGGAATGATCAGCATGTGCATCTTTGTCCTCAGAAATACATACAGACACACTTCAAAGAGGACACAGATAGATGTGTTTTTACTGAGGCATATAGACTCACACAAAATAGTACTGGAATGTGTTCCTTTGTATTCAGATATAAACTTATCAGAGTGAACCAGATCGTGTGACTTTATCTGAATATTTATGTAGAAAATATTCAGGTAGATACAAAACTCATGAAAGTAAAGGCAATTTTGAAACGAAAATGACAGGTTTTGCATATTCAGTTAAATAGCATCAATCATGACTGGGGATATTAAAAGATTCTGATGTCACATCACATCATCTGCATAATAGGATTTCATTGATCAATTTTATTCAGCAACATATCAACACCTCTATGAGTTATTTTATGACAAAATTTAAATATTTTGAACACAATTTTATGGTTTCAACTAAATATATTTTGAATGCAATTGTATTCCTTCAACTACAGATAAAAGGTATTATTGGTCATTTTGCTATAAAATTTATTGTTGGTAATTTTACTATAAAATGTATTGCTATATATTGTTGGTAATCTTACTATAAATATGTATTGTTGGTAATTTTACTATAAATAGGTATTGTTGGTAATTTTACTATAAATAGGTTTTATTGGTAATTTTACTATAAATAGGTATTTTTATACTTTCATGGTGTTTTGTTTTTATTTCAGGGTTCACTATTTGCCCATAGCTGTAACCCTAACTGCTACTATCACCTCTGGGTCAGGGTAGACCTGGGAACAACAGAAACTTAGAGGTGGTCCCAGTCACCTCAAACCTCCAACCACCTGATCAGAGGTCTTGCTGCTGAATGTAGTTTTTCATCATACCCAGGACTTTAATAATAGGATGAATGCAAAAATAAAAAAAAATCCCGCTAATTGATATGCGTATACGTAAAAACAAAATGAGACAATAAATAACCAAAAGAATAGGAATAATTAGAAATAAGTGGATAAAATATCAAGCTTAGCCAAAGCATAAAAAGTAACTAGATTATAATGACCAAGCTTTGGAATAATCAACAATTATTAATATATCACTCTTTAATTCTCTCTCTCTCTCTTTCTTATTGTCTGTGTATATATTCATGTCTACCATTTGTCCATACTTTGAATATTACTGCCACATATGGTCCGGAGTTCTGGCTATATATTTAGATATTCTTGATAAAATCCAAAGAAGAATCAGCAATATTATTGACCCTAATCTGGCATCTTAGCTTCAGTCATTTACCCACCCCCACAATGTAACTTTCCTGTGCCTTTTCTATATAATACTTTCAAGGTAATTGTTCAGATGAACTCTTTGCTATAGTACCTAGACTTTATGAATTTAAGGGCAGTACAAAATTAGCGACAAGGTCTCATCAATTCACAGTTGAATTGACCAGATGTAACCATAAGTTCTATACTAACAGTTTCTTTTCTCACATTCCTTGCTTGTGGAACTCTCTTCCAGACAACTTTGATCTTCAAAAAGTTAAATGTAATGTCAATCATTATCTACTGTCTTCTTAATTCCTGTTCTTTTATTCTTCTTACCCCTTAATAAGGTTTCTCTTTTTTTCTTATTTTTTCACACTTAGTAACCCCTTATGCCTCAGTGGGTTTAATAACTTGGTTGGAGTGATATGATTAATATATATATATATATATATATATATATATACAGGATGTCCCATAATGATGGGACACATTTAAATGCAATCTTGGATTATAAAACTGACATAGAGTATCAAATATATTTAGTACATATCTGATATACAAGAGTTCAACATATTATGTAAAATTTGAATATTACATCCCAGAGATTGTTACCACAATGAAGAGAATATGCACATGCTCACTCTCTCATTTCAAACACAGTTGGCATTGCAGAAGTTTATAACAGCATTCAAGATTACATTTCCGGATGGTGTCTGTCATTTTCTGAAATGCTGTCAGAATTTCCTTTGGGCTGCAAAGATGGATCTTTGACTAGTGAAGTATGCTTTCACTATGTATACAATTTCTTTTGGAGTCCCCAACATTATCAGGGTGCACCATCAGCAAAAGAGAATATCAGATAACTGTAGGAAATAGCAAAATCTTAAATATGTTGAATTATTGTATATTAGTTACGTAATAAATATATTTGGTATTCTATATCATTTTTATAATAGAAGATACTTGCATTTAAAATGCTGCTCTGATCAAAGGAGAAATTAATTTCTACGATGTAAATGTCTAGAGAATACCTTAATCACAAGCTGATCTACAGTAAATTTGTGCTCTGGCACTTAGAACATTTCACCATTCCTAGCAGACCTTCTAATATCACAGCGTGGGATTCCTACTTATAAAAGTGATCAAAAGCAAAAGAAAAAGACTCTAATTGAATTCAGCTAGATAAAAAAAATTCTAAAATTCCCAACATCCCTCTGTCATACACATGTATAGTTCTACCAACATGACAAAATTCAATCCGTCTATATCTCTGAAATGAGATATTATGATATATGGCAGTGGCACCAGGTCAAATATGACAGCAATATTCAATGCATGGACAAATGGCAGATTTATAAACATGCAAGTATTCCAGTATTCCAGTGAGAAATAGAGTTTGGCACAACACAGTGAACCAACTTTCCTAGCAGCAGGCCTAGCAATTGATTCAGTATAATCATCCCACTCCATGTCAATGGAAAACATGAGACCAAGAAGGTGCAATGAGTTACTCTCCTGGAGATTAGCATCAGTCATACTGATGGAAGGCAAGAATAGTGAGGTGGCTCATTATCAAGCCAGTAGGACAAAAAAAAAACTAACAAAAGGCAGAGGAACTCTCTGAGTCAACGACCAGATAACTAGAGGTAGTGTCTCCATAAATCACCATGGAGAAACCACTCCACTACTAATCCCTAGAAAAATCATAGTCAACAACTCAGACAATGCAAAACCTAACAGCATGAAAGGAGTTAAGTCTATAGAAATTAGTTCCTCACCCGGTAAGGACCAACATGTGCAACAGGTGTCACCTGACCGTCATCCAGTGACTGCTAGCATAAACAGCATAAAGGGGATAAAGTCCTTGGAAACTATCCCCTGCCAGGAAAGGAATGACATGAGTGACAAATGTCACTGGACCGTTATCCTGTGACTGCTCACATCAAACACAAAATAACTCTTGGGACATGGAGCGTCTGACATTGAACAACTGCAGACAGTTTGATAATATTAAACAAGAGATGGACAGACTTAACATCAACATTCTAGGTGTATGTGAAACCAGATGGCCAAGCAATGGTGATTTTGTCAGCAACAAACACCAGATAATTTACACAGGCAGATGAGAAAAACGACAAATGAGTAGGACTAATACAAGACAGCGCATTTAAGAAATGTGTTCTATGATATCACTACCAACTTTCCAAAAGAACTATAGTAGTGGACCTAAAAGAGAAACCTTTCAACGTGGCTTTCAAGTAGTGTACACACCAATGGCACAAAGCAAGGAAGAGGACATTGAATCTTTCTACTACATGCTGGACAGTGCCAAAACTCTATGCAAATCACAGGAAGTCATGATTATCATGGGAAAC